AAAGAAGAGCAGGCAGTCAAGACAGACTGCAGCATTTTCAGAGAAGGAAACTAACCTAAACGGGAATGCCAGTTCTCAAATTCTAAGGCACTGATAGACAAGATAGAATTAACTCTTGTTTATATATTTTTTGCACAGGATTTCTTTGTGGGATGGTTTTGATTTTTTTTTTTTTTTTTTTTTTATTTGAAAATTATTGTCATGCTGCTGTAACTGTTAGAATTCTTCATGTTCTCATCTTCCACCTTAACTATAATCAGAGTCCTTTCACTGGCAGGACTATGGAACCCGAATTATCTCTCACTGCTTTGGACTTTCTGTTCACTCCTGTCACTTGTCGAGTAACCTTTAAACTTGGCTCTGAATCAGCTTGTGCTCAACTTTCTAAGTCTTGTTTTTGATGTGTTGACATATTAATCTGTAATTTTGTCTTTCTCAGTTCTTATTACCTGTTGTATATGGAGTTTTTCTCTAAAGTTTTCCCTCAAAGTTCCTTTGAAGCTTACAAAAAAAACCCAAAACCAAACAGACAAACCCTAAGCCGATTTTCTTGCTCTTTGTAATGTTTGCTGGTAATTTTTGTTTTCAGAGCATGTTTTTTTCCACCATATGCTTATATTCAGATAAGATGCAGCACCCAGGTCAAGGGTGTTTGAGAAATAAAAGAATTTTCCATGCAATTATGAACCCCAGCTTCTTTGCTATGTTATAAGACTTTTATTGCTAGGAAAATTGTTTACCAGAAAAAATAGAGACTTTATAAATTTTAAACAAAGCAATATGTAGTTTTAATAGAAAAGGCCTGATGGAGGTAATACTGTTTGCTTGGTTGTGGCTTAAATTAAAAAATCCTTTGTCTTCCATATGTAAATCTTTAACCAAACTACAACAGCTCACAACATACAGGTTTCTGGAGTGTAGGAGCTTCTTTCCACTCTTATTTTTTCTCTAAATTAATATATATAAATTTTGTGTTTCAGTACTAAACCTTGTGTATCCTGTTGTGTGTGTGTGTTTTTCTGTGTCGTACATGCCCCATACGCTTCCTTTCAGCTGAAACAATCTACTTTAAAGAACCCCTGCAGAGGAGCATACTCAAAAGCCTACAAGCTCTTTATTTGGATTTGTGTAGTTCATACTTAGCCTGATGCTTCGGCATGATTGCATGGAGTTACTTCCTATTGCAAATGTTGCTCTTATAAAATCCAAACCCTAGTCAGGTAATGCAATATATAAATTCTGTGATAGAGCAGTCATGTTCCAGGCTTTTTTGCTACCTCACTACTGTTCTCTGAATTGAAAACCCTAATGACCTCTTAAATCCCACCCCCAAAGCGATCTTTGGGTAACACACTTCCGTTAGAAATTCTAAATGGTGTTGAAACAAGCTGTTTTAGCTGCTGAGGGCATGGTGGCTTTGTGGCTTACCTATATATGAAACTGCCTGTATTGTCTTAAAGTATTAGTATGATGACCCTCCAGATAACAGTGCCTGGTGTGTGCAGGTAGGGTTGCAATTCTAGGATTCTGTGAAAAGCTCTGGACAGAAATGCAGAGAGCTGTAAGCTTGGGGTTTGCGTTTTAAAGAGACCTGTTTCTAAGTCTTCACAATTTGTTTTAGAAACTAGGAACTGCACATGTAAAAGGTTCTCCAGGAGACTTTAGTTGCTATAATTGATTTTTATTCCACATATACAGCTGACTTATTTCTGCCATCTCTTCTGCTGACTGCTTGCCCAATATAGAATGATACTATCATTAACAGGCAGACTAACAGCCAAATTCCTCCTCCTTCTCTCATTGTACACCAAAGATCCAAGGTGAAGGACGAGTTAAGGCACTCACCCTCCAGACTGGACATGAAGAAGGGAGTGAGCCAGCCAAGGAGCCAAGTCATGGGCAATGATAGTAGCCAGGCCATGAGCCTAGTTATGTGGTAGGGACTCAGAGACAGCTTCATGTTCTGGCTCTGCCATCCTGCAAACTGCTTGCTGTGAACAGCCAGGGAGCCCTTCCCATAGCCAGAATCCTCACACAACACACACACTCTGCAGACAAGCCTCCCAACCCCACTGCAAGCAGTCAGTTCTTGCCTTGCCTCCAGCTTAATGTGGAAGGTGGGGGCACCTGGTGGTGATCTAATCAGTTCCCACCCAAGGCTGGCCAGACCCTGGGTGAAAACCCATCAGGAGGGTCTTTCTTGCCTGGTTGTGGACATCATCCATATGCCAACCCTAATTCAGGGCTGGGGGTTTGAACCTTCTTCACCATCTCTCTGTTGTCACTTGTTACTGACTGGCCCAAATAGTGGTCTGTTGCACAGGTAGTTAATTTTGAAAACCTTTTGCTCTAGAATTGTCTGTCGCCACTAAGGTTTTGGCACAGTGTGTTCTAGTACTTCAGTGGTTTGAAGTAAATGTAGGAATAAACTTCAAAACCTGCTCTCTGCTGCAGTCCAGTGATAATTTGGTAGCAATAGCAGCATGTGGTGTTTCTCCCCTATGATTCATTCCCACCATATGCTACCACTGTTTTGGTCGTACCAACACAGTTGATTGTGGTACTCCTTGGTAAACTGGGTGAAACAACTTCTCACCCTTTTTCAGAGTGTGGTCATAGCTAGAGGAGGTGTCGTGTGGCCTGGATGGGAAGGGGAAACAGAGTTTGGAAACTTGAGAAGGCAGCCTTGCTACTGGAGAGATTGTGGCAGTGTCTCAGAGCAGGTAGTGATCTGCCCTACAGGGACAGCAGCAGCAGAGACTAGCATGGGGAGTTACGTTTGCATCTGCAAGTGGAACAGTGTTATGGTATTAAAGTACATCTGCTCTTGTGTCACGGTTAGACCCTTTGTGTTCAGAAATGTTATGTTGTATTGTATGCTGCCAGTAACAGTGTTTGATCTCTATTAATAATACAGTGCTAAAAATGTTTAATTTGTGGTGTTTTAAGTAATTTTATATTAAAAGGGGTTTCAACTTTGGGGTTTGCAAAACGCGAGAAATGTTTCTAACCCTATAATTTGACAGAACTTTTTTTTTCCTCTTGCCCTAGCCCTGTTAAATTAAAATCTTGGTACAACTGTTCTGGAATAATAGATGCACTCCTGCTGTCAGCTTTTGCTGGTCAGTGCTGTTCTTCAATTTATTGATTATCTTTACAATATACAGTTGCATGCCCATCTCTTTTTACGTTTGACTGGAGACATGACACAGGACGACTGATTTTTTTTTTTTTGACATAGGATGAAACTCAGATGCATACTTTTCTGCCAAAGCTCAAAACTACTTGCCAGATTTAATTTCAGGTGATTCATGTTGGTTCAGAAATGTTATTCCTGCCATTTTCAAAAATGATTAACTGCTTATGCATCTTCCCCCTCTTTGTTTCCAGTGTTCTGCTGGGTATTTGGAGCAAGGTTTTTGCCCTGCTTCCCACCACTGATTGGTTTTCAATAGTGTGTGTACATACATTGATACTTCCTTAAGCACTGTAAGCTGTAGTTACCGCAGCTGGTAGGTGTCACTCAGATTGCCTTTTGCAGCTCTGTGGCAAAGCTTAAGGTAGTCTGTTTTCACTTGGTACAGGAGAGTCATGTGTGCTGCTGGTGGGAAGGCCACCTATGTATGTAGATACAGATGAAGACTTTGTCAAACAGGACAAAGATGAGGCTTAAGTGGTCATGAGTTATGGATTTGTTTGAATGGTCTTGAAAGAGGAAATTTCATGACTTTCATACGTGAATTACTTCACTATTGCTCATTTTCCTGTGTTCCTTTTGCTATTTTGATAGTGTTGGACCTGTGATCTTTCTGGAATATGCAGTATAGTTCCTCCTACTCTTTGTTTCTTCTGTTTGAAGCTGTGTATTTGCTGCTAGTTGGAAGTTGAAGATTACTGATAGTACCTCAAAGGCATTTGGGTGAGAAGGCAGATGCAAGTTCCTTCTTGTTCAGGCTAGCAGTGGAAGCTCCAGCACACAACAAATGTACAGCAAATAACTGCTTTTAGTTGTTCCATGCTATTTTCAAAGTTCCTGCTCTTGGTGTAATGGAAGTTTAGAATGAATTGAGTTTTAGGCTATATCCATTTGATTATCAAACCTACTCTTCACGGATAAGGAAGGGCATAGGGAAATCTGTAAGTGTCAGATATCTCCTGGAACAATTCCCTGGTTTGCCTAGAGGGCTGTTTGATTGTGGATCTCTTACAGCATGGATTTTTACAATGCAGTATAAACTTTCTTTCTTGTAACTCAAGCCTATTAAGTTCTGCTTGTTCTGTCACTGATGAGTGAGAATAATCTGTTCTTGGCTTCTTCAGAAAAATTCTTTCTGTATTATAATCTGAGTACTATGGCTGCATTTCTAGAATATATGATTGTATTTCATAGGACTGCTTTTCTTGTACATGCTACTTTCTGAGTCTTATCTGATGTCCTGTAAATAATGCAGTTTCTTCAGGTCTGATTGATCCTGAGTTGAGTGAGTTATTATAACAAAGAGTAGCAGAGCAGCCTGACAATATGTATTTTGGTTTATTATGTAACTTTTGGACCTTTCTCTGTGGTAAACTTTTTAGGTAGTAGACTATGCAGAGAAGAAGTGTCAGTCTTGGAGGATGGGTGTGTGAACCTCCAGAACAGAGTGTCTTGTTTTATAGGTCTGAGGTCACACTCCCTTTCTACTTGCAGGTGCCTCTAAGGTCTTGTCCCTTTGCCTGTGGGAAACTCTAGTAAGGCAAGACTGTAGGAATTTGGCTACATTTGTATTTACATGGTTGGAATGCAGTCCGTTGTCACTAAGCTCTCAACTCATTGCATGTCCATTTCACTATTGTCTTTCTAGCCTGTGATCTCTTCATATTGGCTTCTGAGACATTTGAGTGTGTATAGCTGTGATAAGAAATTGTTAGCAATAGTAAAGACACTTGCTAAAGCTTATCTTTAAATCTACTATTGAATGTGCTTTTCCTAAATTTTTTTTCTTGCTTTGTGCAGGACTTTGGGTGAAGAATGCAGACTATAAAGTGTGTTGTTGTTGGAGATGGCGCTGTGGGAAAAACTTGTCTTCTCATCAGCTACACCACCAATGCCTTCCCAGAAGAGTACATCCCTACCGTGTTTGACAACTACAGTGCTCAGATGACTGTTGATGGCCGGACAGTTAGCCTGAACCTCTGGGACACTGCGGGCCAGGAGGAGTACGACCGCCTGCGCACGCTCTCCTACCCTCAGACCAACGTATTCATCATCTGCTTCTCCATCGGTAGCCCCTCTTCCTATGCAAATGTGAGGCACAAATGGCATCCTGAAGTTTCTCACCACTGTCCAAATGTTCCCATTCTTTTAGTGGGCACGAAGAGAGACTTGAGAAGTGACCTGGAAACAGTTAAAAAGTTGAAAGAGCAAAGCTTGGCTCCTACTACACCGCAGCAGGGCACTGCGCTGGCAAAACAGATTGGAGCAGTCAAATATTTGGAGTGCTCAGCATTGAATCAGGAAGGTGTTCAGGAGGTGTTTGCTGAAGCTGTGCGTGCAGTTCTGTATCCTGTGACAAAGAAGAACACGAGAAAATGTGTCTTATTCTAGTTAGCTTGGGTAATGGGTATTCAAAGTTGAATATTGACTAGAATCTTGGAGGGTTCTTTAATGAGTTAAATTGAAGATTTGCATCTTGCACTAACAGCTCTAAGCAGAAATGATTTATGCAATGAATATTCTTGCAGCCATTCCTTCAGGGAAACTGCAACAGAACGGTTTTTTTTTCCAACTGAGAGGTCAAATGCCTATTTTATTTCTAAAGTTCCAGTCTCCGGTTTCTCCAGGGATCACTTAGCTTGTATTTAGCGGAGGAAAATAAAAGAGATTTCTTTGAAGCCAGAGTTCTTTACTAGATAGCCATAAGTTACTAGATCAGCTGAAAAAGTACAAATTCTGATAACTTTGCTGTAAGCTGCTGCTTTTCCCATCCCTTAGTTATGATTGAATTTACTGTACAGACAGAAGTCTGGCTGTCCAGCTGTTTTAATTTGTCGATTTAAGCCTTGAAAATGCTTTGTTTACATGCAGAAAGGCCTGTAATCTTACTGAGATTCACCTGATAGTGAACTGTGGTCATTTATAGGAAGAGTTAACATAAGGCATGTTTAATGCAATGAGCAAGACCCAGGGAACACCTTCGATGAATTTATTAATAGAAACAGGAGCTGATTTCTCCTAATGTAAGTAACTTAGGATAACGATGAATCACTCAGATGAGTGATTTTCATACTTGTGAATTGAAGGGGTGGAAGAGTAGCTTCAGTGCAATTCTTCCATAATCTTCTAAACTGAGTTTTTATTTCACTCTCCAAAGAGAATTTGCACCTTGAGAATGAAGTTAACAGTTACCTTCTCAGACTGGCTGAGGTAGTTTGGATGACACTTTGCAAAATGAGGTTGTTCAGTGGGATCCCTTTGATGAATCCCAGAGACTTGACAGCAGACCATTTGCTCTTGAGAAATTAATGGCTTCACTTTCTAATCTTGCGGCCACCACGTGGGATTTTTACAGCAAAATCCTTTGTTGTTTTTTTGGGAGAACACTGACAGAAAATGTGGAGGTTCTGCATAGAGGAACCAGGAAACCTTCCTTCTTCCAGGCTACTCGCTGATGGCTTCAGTTAGGTTTGTAATGGTTAGCAGGTCACTGGATAGGTTTACCTGGGCATTTTATTTCCTCTGCTAGGTGATCAGTTGTTATAAACTCTTTTAACTGAAGTTCTATTTTTACATACTTTCAAATTGTCTTTAGCAGCTTTAGTGAGTGGCAGCTGGCTTTTATTTTCAGGATGTGCACTGTTCGTTGTGTACAATTATGGGACCAGCTGAGCAGTGAGTGCATGAAACCTTCCTTACACCTTACAGCGTGGTGGTATGCAAGCAACATCCTTCAAAGACGCTTTGTGTGAAACCAGTGGTGCTGGACTGGGCTCTGTTGTCTGAAGTTGACAGTGCTGTCTTTGAATGCAGCCTCAATTGGTAATTCAGAACTTGCTTTCCTGTGATTCCCACACATGCGGAGCTGCAATGGTGTATGCCCTGGGCAGAAAAAAGCCTCATTTTAGTAAGATAACAGAAAATATATCAACAAGGTTTATAGGGATCTTGTGTTAAGTTGACCTTTGATATGGGCAAAAATACCAGGTGTGTTCATATTTCTGCCCTAATTCCCCTCTTTGAAGAGGATGTGCCTTTCTTCAGCTGATACAACCAATGCTGATACTACCTGCAATTTTTGTATATCTGACATATGCTTGTACTGGTACTACTTTAGCAAACAGCACCCCATAGATTAGGAACTATTAATCCAAATGCTAGGATATGTGGTTAGCGAACCAACAGAGTTCCAAATATGGTCTGATGGCAAGCAGCACTGAAATGCCTGTTAACACATAATGTTTGCAAAAGCCTGTGGACTCTGCATGTTTTCCTTGACTAAGTGCCATTGCCCAGAGTGTCTTTGCATCTCTTGCACTCACTGAAGTGCTGTTCTAGATGCAGCTTCTACCACAGTGCTCTGCAGACTGTGGGCTTAGGAGTGTTTCAGTGAGATAACCTCTGCTCACCACGTTCTGCCTTTACTTCAGTAATAGGCCTTTAGTGTAGGCTTGACTTGCAGGGAGCAATTAATTCTGTGCCTTGTAATTAAAAACTATTTTCTGTAGGTAAATTTCAGTAACTGAGTAAATAGAATTTATAATGTTTAAAACATATTTATTTAAGCCAGTGCACATTTATTTTTTTTTAAAATCTGATCAGACCTAAATCCACTGTTTATAGTTACCCTGGTGCAAGCCCATAGCCTTTGCTTCATTCAGAGATGTACTTTAAAAAGTTAAATGATAGGTTTTTTCAACAACAGGCACCTCTTTTTTTTTTTTTTTGTTTTGCTACATATATTTGCAATTTTGTACTGAAGTTACTACTGTTTTAAAAAGTTTTTACTTTTTTACATACTGAAATCTTTTAGTTTTGTGGCTATTCCTAACTGGATTACAGTAATCTTGTGGAGAAGAAATCCTGTGAGCAAGTATTATTGCACACCACTCCCAGTTTCTGTAGGCTCACAGAACAGCCATCCTGGTGTTAACTGGAAGAGAGAGTACAGTGAGATAAAACTCAACTAGTAATTTATTTGAATTGATTACATTATGCTATCATAATGTAACACTTTATCCTCATCTAGATTACTTAATAAATGGATTGCACAACAGTACTGAGAAGTACATGATAGTGATAAAAATGAGCAGAAAGTGAACTTTCAACACCATCAAAAACTTTGGAGTACCTCATTAGTAGTCATTTAGATGCCTTGTATTTCTGTTCTGCCAGGAGCTGAAGTCCTGCCAGCTAATTTCCTTCAGCCTTTGCCTCTCATGAGAGTGAGCTTCAGGAGTGAGCATTCTCAGTTGGTGATCTTCCTTCCCCTCCCACCCCCTTGGTTCATTTTATTGTAAATAATCCAGTGCATCACTGTACAATCCATTCCATTCCTCCCACTTTTTTTTTTTTTTTTTTCCATTTCCTGTGGGCCAAATGCAGACCCAGCACAATTCCATGACTGCATTTTGTCTGTTTTTGGGAGATCAGAAAGTCTGTGTTAAGCTGTTCGGGCTTCCTGCATTGTTCAGGATTCCTCAGTTTGTTACTGAACAGAAACACAGAGGGTATGTCTTAATTAATGGAGGCTCTCTACAAAGAGACCAACTCTAATCTTTCAGTGTGTGAATGATTTCTGAAATATGTGGGTTTTTTTAAATACAGCTGAAGCCATTCACAGGGAGCTGAGCAGTTCAGGAATTGTGTTAAAAGGATGTTACGAGGTGTGCTTAGGTATGTAAGTGCTTTCTCCAGTTTACAGCTGTAGCTGTATCTATGAAATTTAAGCTAGAAGAGCCTCGCCGTGCTTTGTCTCCGAGTGCTAAACCTTGCTCTGTAGAAACCTCGGTGCTGCTTGGGCTGACCCGAGAAGAGGATGGGGCTCTCGGGGCAGGTCCCTGGAAAGGCTGTGAGGAGCGCTGGTCAGCAGTGGGAGCCCACGACATTGACGTGAGGTACTGACTCATACACTGGCAACTTGATTTTATACTATAAATGATTCTGTATTACAGCTAACGGTTTTAAAGGATTTTTTTAAAAAAAATTATGTGGAATTAAGCTGTAACAAACCTTTCCTCATATCTCTAGCTCTTGCATTAACTCGCCCTGCTGTTTGTAATGCGCCTGTTCTAAATGTAGTTCTTTCCTGTGGAAAGCCGGACCCCGTTTCTGAAATGCAATAAACGATTTTGGGTGAGTGCCCGAGTCTGCGCTTCCCTGGGCGGGGCGGGGCGCGGGGTGCTGCGGCGCGGGGGGTGCTGCG